ATTCAGGGAAGCGTGACAAAAACAACAAAATAGGGAGTCTAACGTGATTTCTATCACATATATTAGGCTTACAGATATCCAATGCTTCACCAGATGTCAACATTAAAGCTATGGCTTTAGAACTGTTATAATAATTATACAAATAGCGTTTCTGATAAACATTTGAATTATTTGCTGCGACAGTTCCATGAACACAGATTTATATAAAGTCATAAATTTCTCTATTTCAAAACAATAGAGATATCCTTAAAATAATTATTCAACGTGACTCGCAAGCAAGGAAGAAAATAAAACCAATCATAGATACCTCCATCTGAAGTTAAAGTTGAAAAGCTATATTCTTTTACAGAGGAGCCAGCGCTGTTATGAGCTGTTATACGCAGATTGTACCACGTTCCTGGTGTTAGTTCCTGTAGTGTTACATGATCAAGATGTCGTCCTATATCCGTGGTGGTCATCTTCCAGTCATTTGTATAAATACGTTTGTATCGAATAATGAACGATGTGATTGGACATCCGCCACTGTCCCAAGCATTCATGTGTAGAGTAACATAGGTAGAATTGGAAACAATGAAGATTTCACGAGATGGAGGACTAGGGGCTACAAAATAAATTATACATCAATGGCTTTAGTAAAGGTTAAGAAAAACTCCTTTAATCACATTTTCTCTGTTTCTAAGCATTTTTAAAGGAGGTTATTTTCAAATTTTGCCTTAAGATAATGGAATATAGTTAAAAAACTCGATCAACTGTATAACTTATTTACCTTTGTAACAAGATTATTTGGTGTCACTGAAGCCATACTTATGACGTTATCATCCTATATATTGATATTGAAATTAATATTTAAAAGAATTATGGAAATTATGTTTTTCTTTAAACTTCATAACGGAATTTGCTTTCTCGTGCGTGTTAACAAATTCAATTAGATAAACACATTATATCCAACAATACCAAGAAAGTGAACATTAACATAAATGAATATTTTTATTCTTGTTCATGTTACTGAAGGGCATTGAAGCGAGTTTTAGTGGATTTTATTCATTTAGATTTTATCATCATAGGGAGGTCTTATTATTCATTCATTCATTCTTTTAATGCTATTCATGTTGGAGTTTATAAAACCTTGTTCATTCAACATGTGATCGGTTCGAATGTTTGTTTGCTTGTTTGTTGTTAAGCACAAAGCTACAGTGGACTATCTGTCCTCAGCCCATTAAGGGTATCTAAACTAAATTTTTGGTGTTATAAGAACTCATCAGACATATCGTTGAGCCACGAGGGGGAAGTTCGAGTGACTAACTACATTTTGTAAGCGCTCATCCCAATCTTTGTACAAGATGTCAAAAATAAATAGACACTTTTACAAATTATATATATATCCAAATCAGGTATCATTAAATACCGTAGTACTTAACAGTAGGGACCATCATGAAACAAAATAGCGGCTATAAAAAATCGCCCATTTACAACCATCTTTAAAATGTCTGAATATTAACGATGACTATTTCAGTTTTGGCCGAGCAAAACTAAAGCTTATTGTACCTATAAAGCCACTTAAATCGCTATGTACGTGTTTATGGAGTGAATTAAAATGTCAGTATTTGAAATAATTTTCATCTAAGTAAGTAAGCGACATTTATCGCTAGTTCTTTCACAGGATCCCTATGTCTGGGGTCCCAAATATTCCTTTCTTGTATCGAAAAGAATACGAGCATATATATATATATATATCTGAAACGAGTGATGCGCTACTTTGGGAGTATGATTAGATTTGAGGGTAGGTTAGTAGATATCCTGATGAGTAAAACTGAATCGGGTAAATGAGAGTCCAAACTTGGTATTGCTGGCGTACAAAATTTAGCTAAATAAAAAAGGAAAAAAAAAACAAGTATAATCAAAAATGTATAAAGACAAGTAGGGATCGATATATGCGTAACAAATATTTCCTCACATAAATTTTGAAACAGTGATACTTTAACGTGTGATGCATTATCTTTCACCTACACTTTACAAAGATCGTCAAATATATTAGTCGTCAGTTACAAGTCAGTGTTCTGTGATTTTCTTATATAAAACTCATGTTTAATCAGAGCCCAATATGTTTTAAGCAGATATTAATGTATAATAAATAAAATCACAGACTTGACAAATATCACACATATTGAAGCAAAAAGTATTGAAACAAGAAAGTCAAAAGTACAAAACTGTGTCACTTAAAATTTAGAACAATATACATTGAGTGGTCACAAGTAAATAGACACCTAATATTTCATCATTTAACTGGTTTATGCTAACTAATTTGTGTTCACAAAGCACTATATAAATGAAAATGGTCCGCACACTAATTATATTGTGCTACAACATGCCTAGAACTCAAGGTTCTCTCGAATTGTCAGATTTTGTTAGAGGAAGAATAGTTGGTCAAGCAGATGGTGGAATAAGTCAGCGGCAAATTTCTCATAATTTAGAAATCCCGCTTTCGACAGTCAACAGAATCATTGTGCAGTTCAGGAAACACGGCAAGGAAACAACTGAACAGCGTCCGGGTCCATCGGAAAATGCAAAAAGGGCTGTCAAGAGGAG